AAGAGCTCGGATGTGTGCAACAGCATCTCCACAACTGTTTTAGTCTCAGCTTCAACTCTGTTCGTTTCGCACTCTGACAGTTCATTTGAGTGTAGCAAAACGATTGCGCATCCAATATGGTCTAGAATCGGCAAAACAAGAAGTCTACATTGCGAGAACAGCGTTGAAGAATTCTGTCGCCTTGAGCAGAATCTCTCCAGTGCAGCACAGACAGATAGAAACACATCGCATCGGAGAAGTTCTGGCAGTGAGGCACGGCGCAAAAAGTGCTTACTGCCTGCTTGAAAGAGAACCTGCAAAGTCTTTGCCAGCGTCGTTAGACGCTTGGCCCATCCACTTTCTTTACCAGTTGGAAACCAGCCATTCTGAGGCAATCTCCTTTGCTGTCCAAGTTCTGCTGCAAAGGCTCTACCCGCACACAATTGCACGCGGGAACAGTGCACAGTCTGTTTCCGACGAAAAGCTTGCTATTCTTTGTGGACGCTTCGTAACGCTCCGTCAACCGAGAGGCTTCAGCAGTGTGTTGCTTTGTCTTGGGCCGAAAAGCGAGCTCCACGCGTTTCGAGGGTGATTGTGACAGTGAAGCCGTTGCGATCAGTCATCTCTGGGCCTCCGCAAGCCACGCGACGTTAACACACAGTCACAGTCCCTCCATTCTGGTTTCATTGCGACCTCTTGCGGTTTTCAGCTGAGCGGCGATGAGAGAGACTGTGGAAAAGGCCGGTCCCACACACCCAACCGGAAAGCTTAAAACGTTAGGTCATGCTTGACTAAGCAATGATCAGGAAGTCAACCTTTTTCAAAAGAACGTCCAGCAGCACCGTTGCTTCGTCGCCAAGCATCTCTCTAACATGACAATTCACTTGTGTGTTTCGTGTTCCTGCTGCTAGCGAAATGTTGAATCTTCGCTAGTTGCAGTCAAAACCTATTGTGTTACTGGTTATTATTTTTTTTGGGACTTTTTTTCAGGTGTAACTTCAGTTTCCGTGTGCGATGTTGGAATTCGAACAGAGGTTGCGTTCATTGCTTGTTTTGACATATTTGCGCCTTTATTGCGTTGCTTCAACGACATTTGAACTAACCGTTGCCTTTCCTCCTGAAGTTGCTACCATTTGAAAGTGTACAAAATATCAGTAGCTTCCAAACGTTCTTAGTGTTGCTGGGCACTGTAGCCGGTGTTTACCAATGGCAGTATTAGTTAGTGAACGATCTCACTTGACAGACTGGGTGTGTTGCGTTGGGTTGGCTTTGCGTGGATTGAATGCGCACTGGAGCATGGCTGCTTTTGCAATGGCGCTGTGAGCTCTGGTTCGCACATGGACGAGGTGCGACACAAGACGGGGCTTTGTCAAGGCTAATCAGTCTGTCCATTGACAAAGTCCGAAGATTCGGCATGCAAGGGACTGCGTGAGTTTGCATGTGTTGTGCAGGATGGCGAGGTGATTGCTCAGTTACCGGGAGAAGTTCCGTTTGAGGCGAGCGCCTTTGGGCTGGTAGGGACAAGGAGGTCAGGGGCAGCAGATCAGTACAACAGTTCCTGTGGCATGTGGGCGTAGAGTTGAGGCAAAGTGCTGTAAATGGCAACACTGGAGTTGTTGAGAATGCAGCATGTACTGTTAGTGGACTGGCTTGACCCGGCATTTGCTCACGAGGGCAGTTATGGAAGCAAATCTAAGATATATATATATATATATGTACCGAAGTTACCGAAGACGGCATGATTTGGGAAGCCAATCATTACAGTATGGCAGGCAGCCATGTACATGCGATTGCTTTATGCACATGCGTCCGCGGCCATGTGTTTTCAGGTGCAGCTGGCTTCCACATTGCTACCACGGATTGGAACACCATCTCTGCACAGCCACTACCATCAGTGGAACAAACAACTGCAAGGCCCAAGGGCTGGGTGTGCGAAAGCTTGGCAACTTGATGTTCCCATGATGGCTCGTGCTCGTCTGACCACGACAATCCGATAGTTTGATATTCATGCTCCACGCTACATATCACTTCCATTGTTGCTAGCTGCTAGTTTGTTGGCACGTCGTTTTCGTCATTGAGTTTTCGTTTGAAGTCGATTGTGGTGGTTGTTGCTGCAAGCATAAGGCTCGCACTTCCCGGCGGGGCAGTCCGACTATAAGTGAGAAGTTTCCCTAAACCCTAAACCCTAAGCCCTAAACCCTAAACCAGAGGTTGTCTTCGTCTTCTCCGATTCAGGTCTGCAGACCATGGCAGTCGTTGCACCGTTCACGCCGTGTGCCCTGTTGAAGACTTCCAAACTAATCACTGGAGTGCAGTTGGTTGCCCAGAGAGCCCAACACCCCTTAATTAAGGAATAGACCTGAAATCATAATCTTAAGGCCCCTATAATTTTCAGGTATGCCCCTTTATTTGAGGGGTATTGGGTTCTGTGGGTGAGCCAGGCCTGCCAGTGATGCGTATGTTTGCGCTCGGGACCTGTGGTGGTCACAACTCCGTGCTCAGCTTTGTACAACCCCCCCGGACCCTCGACCCCGAGGAGGCAAACGGCCTACAGCAAACGGACAAAGCAAACTCCAACCCCAAGAACCCATGAACCCTAGGCCCGAAAACAGTCGGTTCCCCAAGCAGAAAAAACGACTTGTCGGGTTGGTCCCATAAAGAAAACAATGGGTCGACGAGCACAGAACAGCTCTTCGAGTTGGTTCGTTGAGACGGAGCAATCTGTCGAGTAGATCCTAAAACCTTAGTACCCCTAAACCCTAAACCCTAAAAGCCCAAAGCTCTAAACACTGAGCCCGAAAAGCCCAAACCCAGAACCTAGGGCCCAAAGCCCTAAACCCCGAAACCCTACCCCTAAGACTCTAAAACCCTAAACCCTAAACCCCTAAAGCCCTGAGACCCTAAAACCCTAAAGCCCTAAACCCTAAACTCTAAACCCCAAACCCTAAACCCCGAACCCTAAACCCCGAACCCGAAACCCAAAGCCCATGCCTTCCCTGCATCTTGGGAGCCTCGAAGAAGTCTTGAGGCTCCCGCGGGCAGACGCCTTGCAGCCAGCCGGGCTGGGGACTCATACGCTATCATCTTGTTTGGGATTTGGGGTTCATGGTTTCGGGTTTTGAGGGTTTTGAGGGTTTTGAGGGTTTTGAGGGTTTTGAGGGTTTTGAGGGTTTTGAGGGTTTTGAGGGTTTAGGGGTTTGTGGGTTTAGGGTTTTGAGGTTTAGGTTAGGGATGCGGCAGTATACTAATGGACTCTAGAAAACTACAGTCGATCAGAGCCTTGTTTAACTATGCTAATCTATTCAAGCAGATTACAATCTGGCTCCGATTTGCCATGGGCTTTGATGCGCGTCGCACATAAATTCAAGCTGGGATTACGGGTGAGAAGGGCCCGAAGGGCTCAATGGTTCAAGGCAACTTTCGGCTTCTGGCATTTGGGTCGTGTTTTGGGCGCAAGCTCGGGTTGAACGCGGGGTGTCAGATTCGCTGTTCACGGGCTGCCAGTCTTTATCATAAATTCGAAAAGCCCGAGACCCAGGATCTCCCCCTCCCCATGCCCCGTTCACAGACGACCTGCATGGCATTTCCTTCAGCATCTACCCCAGGCCCCCACCCCCCGATCCCCTCCCGGACCCCGTGATGATGGTGAAGATGACATTGATACGTGTATGAAGATGACCACTGCAAGGCCTAAGCTCAAACTCAAACTCCTCATTGTCGACTCCCCCAACTTCCGTCCGCATGTAGCTCCACGCCTCGCAGTCAAAGTTGGCCGATAAAGGGATGATGCAGAGCCGTGAGGTGCTGTATTTCCGGTAAACTTTGGTAGGTATACGTCACGGACCATAACGGGGGAGTTTCTCGTTGTGCCAGTGTTCTCGAGGTTCAGAGTTTCGTTCGACACTTTCCTCGTCACTGTCTTCTCTGAGGCCAGCTGCAAAAGAATGCATACGAGTGCCCAGCAAGACAAAAGTGGTGCTTCATTTTCCCATGGCAGAAGCATTCTGCACATGGACGGTTTCAGCCTTCAAAACCGGCCCCACATCGTCTTGCAGCACACGCACACACGCACAACATGTGTGACATTCCGCTGAAACTGAGCTTCAGACACCGCTCTGAGGCGGGAGTTCTCGGAGCGATGCTGTTGCTGCTGCTGCTGCAGCTGCTGCTGCAGCTGCTGCTGCTGCTGCTGCTGCTGCTGCTTCGGCTTCTGCTGTTACGCACAGCTAGGCTGAGACGGCGACTGCTCCTGTAAGCACGGTGTGGCATTGCGAGGGTCAGCCATTTTCTTTCTGCCAGGATCATGTCGGACAAGCTGTTATGACTGCCATCTCTCCCCCGTCTTTGTGTGTGGCACTGTGGCACTGCAGCTAAACCAGCACCGATGCGGACAACCAGGAGCTGGCAGCGTAGCTGATGCCTTGCCAAGCGTGTTGCGACATCACTTTGATTTCGTTGCAGGCCGCATCTCATCAGCCGGGAGAGGCCGCTGTACTGGTCCGAAGTAAAGTTTCTCCTAAATCTTTGCTGCCTTGGAGCCCCACACGCTCTGTCGTCCTCGTCGTGTATCGGTTGTGGTAGTGCTTGCTATGATCGCAGTTGAGGCGGTGGTCGTGGTGTGGTAGTTGCTGGGGTCGTTGTTTTAGTGGCGTTGGTAGTTGCCGTGGCGACTGCTGCTTCTGCTGCTGTAGCAGTTGCTATTGCTGCTATTGTTCTTGTCACAAACCAGCCGATTCATTGAGTCAGGAGGCTCACTGGGTAGAGCTGTCCGTGCCCCGGAAAGGGACTATATTCCAGTGGGATCAGGGAGTCGGGAACTCACTAAACGGTGATTGTCCCGGGCGGACCAGCTTCATAAAGCCAATGTGAACCGGGAACGGCCTTTCAATGCTTCGCAGCACGCAAGGACCCATTCTCCTAAACGGCAAAAGATCCTAAGCTCTATACCCTAAACCCTAAACCCTAAACCCTAAACCCTAAACCCTATAACCCCAAGCCCTAAACCCAAACCCAATCGCCAGGCCGCCCACGACCGGCCCGCCTCTGGACCGCCGGTCGGCGCTTCAGGCCGTTGGGTTTCCCACGTAGGGCTAGAGGTTTAGGGTTTAGGGTTTAGGGTTTAGGGGTTTAGGGTTTAGGGTTTAGGGTTTAGGGCAAGTTTTTGAGGTTTCTACAACGCCCCCTCATCGACTGCTGGGCATTCGTTCGGGAGTGAAGCTTTCGGTAGAAGAGATGTCAGTGTGTGTGGTTCTCAGTGAGCCCAGCGTCCGGATGATGAACCCTAAACCCTAAACC